TGTATGCATCCAGCCCTCACTCTGTGTTCCTTTTCTATGTCAATGCCCCCATTGGGAAGGGGAAGCCAGTGACTGTGCCTCTGAAACCTCTGATTGCAGGTAAACACTGCTCATTTGCTTTCTTTTACAACTGGCAGAAAGGAAGGGAGGGAAGGAGGAAAGGAGAAAGAGGGCGAGAGAGAGAGAGAGAGAGAGAGAGAGAGAGAGAGAGAGAGAGAGAGAGAGAGGAAAGAAAGAGAGAAAGAAAGAAAGAAAGAAAGAAAGAAAGAAAGAAAAAAGAAAAAAAGAGCAAGCCTTGGGTGCTATGCCAGCTATTAATTTCAAAGTCTACATTTTCAGAACCTCTACTTTGTTCATTTTAAATCAGTGCATTAATTAGAGAACAAAGCAGGCAGCAGTTTACGTATTTGAAAACAATGACCTTCGTCATTGCACAAATAGACAATTTGGGTCAGTGGGAGGAAGCTTGCAGTTTCAGACCATGATCTCACTGTGGAGGAGGAAGGGTCCTCAATGACATTTCCCTTCGTCATTGCACAAATAGACAATTTGGGTCAGTGGGAGGAAGCTTGCTGTTTCAGACCATGATGTCACTGTGGAGGAGGAAGGTTCCTCAATGACATTTGGTGGGTCCCTCTGTTGGCAGCCTTGTCCCCAGACCCATCTGCTTTGTCTCATCTCCCAGACACCATGGAGTTTGGGGAGAACAATTACTGTTTTCTCTCAATGACTCGATCCTTTCTTGCACATAATGGCTCTGCAGCTGACCTGGGGCTTTGTGTCTTCCCTGGGACATGTGGCCAGTGTGTGCATGTGCCCAGTGCTCAGCTCCATACCAAAAATAGCTTGAACCTTGGCGGGGAGGGGGGCTTGGGATTTTCTCTTTTTCCCTCTCTTTTCTACAGCCGTTAGCACACTACTCACAGAAGTTCTGTTGTTAAAATACACTAACTAGGAATAGGGGAACATTATATTTAAGTTTCATCCCTGCTCTCTCCTCTTCTGCCCCTGTTGTAAACAGCCATGGTAGGGACTTAAGGGACTCAGTGGCAGATAAACCGCTGTGGCATGAATGAGCAATCAGCGGGGAGCAGCATAATTGGAGTCTGGCAAATGGAACCCACTGGTGAAACCGTGTCGGCGTCACACAGAGAGGTGATTAGTAAAGTTTAGAAACTTGACAGAACTACAAAACCACAGGGCCCAGCAAAAGCAGCTCGTTCCTGTGCCCGTTGCCAAGAGGGAATAAAGATGTCTTTTAGAGACAGGATGTGCTAGCATTCCTACCAGAGGTGCTGGACAACTTGATCTCTGGCTCTAGAGAACTGAGCTTCCCAGAGCTCATCACTGTTAATATGTCACAGACTTCCCACACAGTATGGTTAACATACACATGTTAGTACTGACATAGATAACATACGTGTGTTAGAACAGAAATCATCTATTCAACACAGTCGCATGTTAGTACAGACACAGACTACATATGTTTAAAACCTTTTGCACAGATATAGACAGCATGTGTGTTAAATATGCATTCGTGTTAACCATACATGCATGTTAACTTGTCGTATGTTCAATATAAATTCACAAAACACATTTCTACATATACAGATAGCATGCATATTAAACATACATTCATGTTAGCCATACATACATATGTTTATGAAGCCATGTATATTATGTTAGCAGATGTAGAAGCAATTAAGTAGACCACATGTTAATACAGATATGAAACACATTAAACATGCATGTACATTCAGACATCATAATGTATGTTAAACATATATGTGCTAGCACAGATACAGATTGCATGCATGCATAGCCACAGATACAACATGCTGATGAGAACACACACAGGGGTATTAATTCAAGCAAGCATGGACCTCACATGGCTCCTCATGACTCTACACAGATGTCAGACAAACAGCAAGGTCAGTGACGCTCCTTTTCTATCTTTGTTCCTTATTGCTGAGGTGGAATTAAGTGTCTCCACTGACCTCTGTTCAGATCCCTTCTAACACTGGTATTATTTTGTTCAAGTTCCAACCACCTCAGGAACCGGCAGTGAGACAACAGGGGTTGCCATTTTTGACTATGAACATATGAAAGTAAAAACTGGTAAGAATTTTATTCATAATTCTTTTGAAATTCTCCCTCACCTTTCTCCCTCACTCCCTTGTCTTTGAGGCTATCATTTAGAAATCAAGGAATCAAGGGAACACACATTTTCTCTTCACAAGTATATATGAAAACGGGCTTTAAGCTTCTTGTTGTCTTTCAAAATGCCACAAATCTCTTTTCATATGTATTTTTATTTATGTGCATGTATAAATGTATTCCACAACTGTGGGAATGCCTTTGGAGGCCAGAAGGTATCAGAGCCCCTGGAGCTGGAGTTACAGTCATTAGTGAGCCCCTTGACCTAAGAGCAATAATGGCTCTTATCCACTGAGCCATCTCCCTAACCCCGAATGCCATGAGTTTCAAAGGCCATTGTCCTGCGTATATCAATGGTTAGAGCAATGATAAATGGGTGTTCCCTCTCTTTGACATTTTTTAACATTTTAAATCAATTTATCAAAACATGATTTTATACAAGAAGATGCACACTTTTCAAGATATTCTAGCAGCAGCCAGCAGATTTTAGACATTCCCATAACTCCACGAAGTCACCTCACGATCCATCCCAGCCCATCCCTACAGACCCATTCCCACTTCACCTCTGGTCTATTTTCCATCTTCTTAGTTATTTTGGGGCTACCCCTTGACTCTTGGCTGCTGTGGTAGAAATCACCCTCTCCTTTGTTTTTGCTCAATATACTTCCCCTGGCCTTTATAGCAAAAAAAGCTAATGCTCAACAACACATTTAAAGTAACTTCTTCATTTTAATTAACTTACATGACCCTTGACATTGTTAACAAAAACAAAACCAAGCAAAATTTGCTTTCAGTCTTCTGTTTTTAAAATGCTCATATACATATTATCTAATCATATTCTTACAGCTTCAAGTGTTGTTATAGTGTGTGTGTGTGTGTGTGTGTGTGTGTGTGTGTGTGTGTGTGTGTGTGTACGCGCGCGCATTCTGTATAAGGCCTAATCTTAGGATAACTCTGAATGGTTAAGTGACTTGTCCAATGTCACACAGCCAGGTGTAGAACAATGACCAGCTTGCCAGTAAACAACATTTTATATTGAACAAGAAATAAGCCCTGGTTTGTAGTTCTTGTCAGTTTCTGTGTAGTAAGTACTGCCCACAGCGCAAGCAGTGTCACTCCTCCAGGCAGCTGAAAGAGCTACACAGACTGGCCCCTGGGATCTGGGAAGCCAGCCAGCACACCATTGAAAGCAGAGGTTCTGGTCCCAGATCTCTTTCTGCAGCTCCTCGCATCACTACGTGGAAATGAACCTTTCTCATACTTCTGTTTTAAACTTTATTGTCCTAAGGTTATTTTTTTTAATGGCGCCACACCTTTAATATACTAAAATTCCTTATGTTTTAGGCATTGCTTCACGAGCCATCAAACCCACACTGGGACTAGTTGATCCTCTGCACACTCTACACATGCCTTGTCAGGTGGTTGCCAACAGTGGCTTTGATGTCCTTTGGTAGGTACCGGTGCCACCTGGAGGGGCTTTCAGGACTGGTCTGTGAGCAGTATTTTGCCACCCAAGGAGCTGTATACAGTCAGTGATAAGCCTTCACTGGTTAACACTATGTAGCACCCCTCATATTGGCTGTCATTGTCCCCTCTCCTAGATAGAAATGTTGATGACTGGATGCAGTTGAATAAGAGACCAAAAGCCTACCTCAGACAGGCCACTCCACCCTAGACAACATCTGAGGCTTAGGGCCACAGATAAAGGGTCAGTGTAAGATGACATGAAGCACCTCTGGACTACACCTGTCTCTGTAGCCATGCAAACCAGGGAAGGATTGGGGCTTCAGCCAAGGGAGGTCAGTAAAGGGGGCTGGTTAGTGTCTCCAGGGTGTAGGACAATCATGCGTAGTCTCAAGACCTCACACACATCGCCTCTCTGTAACAATGCAATGTGAGAGTCACTAACAGAAAAGGAGATTGGGTTCCCAGGGTTTAGGAACTTGCCCAGGCTCACACTAGGCTCCTGTGGTTTTGGCTGTGATGTGCCAAGATCCCATCTGTATGTCAACTGCAGATCCTATTCCTGAGCTAGGCCATCATTGCCAGTCTCCTCAAGGAGCACCCCAGCTTCTTCACTTTCAGCAAGTCTCAAACCGCCATAGTTCATCCACTCACTCAAGAACATTTGCCACATTTTTGTGTCCTTGAAATCAGAATTTTTTTTTTTTAATTTTGAGATAAGGTCTCTCTATATAGCCCTGGCTGTCATGGTGCTCCCTGTGTGTAGACCTGGCTGACCTCAAACTCAGAGATCCACCTGCTTCTGCTTTCTGGATGCTGAGATTAAAGGTGTGCCTCACCACACCCAGCTGTCAGAGAATACCTTTTTTTTAAAAAAAAAAAATAAAAATATATATATATATATGTAAATATATGTCCCCAACCCACCCCCACCCACTCCCCAAGGATAGTGAGGCCTTCTATGTGGGATCATCAAAGTTTGTCACATCATTTGGGGGAGAGCCTAGGCCCTCCTCTGTGTATCTGAGCTGAAATAGTATCCATCCATAGGGAATGGGCTCACAAAGTCCATTTGTGCACTAGGGATAAATACTGGTTCTACTGTTAGAGGTCCTGTAGACTGCCCAGGCCTCTTAACTGGCACCCACATTCAGAGGGCTTGTTTCAGTCCAATGTTGGTTCCCCAGCTTTACAACTGGGGTCCTTGTGCTCTCACTAGCTCAGGACAGCTATTTCTGTGGGTTTCTCCAGCACAGTCTTGACTCCTTTGCTCATCCCTCCTTTCTCTCTACAACTGTATTCCAGGAATATGACTCAGTGCTTAGCTGTGGGTGCCTGCATCTGCTTCCATAAGCTAATGATGAAGCAGAGAGTATCTTAACGTCTGTACGTGGCGTATATTTTTTTATTCCAGCAACGTGTTTCAAAATAACTGCATCTTAACATCAGCATCTTACAATGTGTTCATCAGTGCCTTTTTTAAAAAAATGGTGGCATGTGAAAGTCAGTGAAATGGGTCAGTTCTCTTAATCACCTTGCACCACAGCTTCTCCTGCATCCACCATCCCCTCGGGAGCAGGACTTGGTATCAGTGCCCCTCTTCTCCCATTGTGCCCGTGCTCTGCCAGCAGATGCAGTTTCTTGTGCCATTTGACTCTCTCACACCTGTCTGTCTTGTTCCTCCTTGGTTCCTCCTTACTGAGACCATTCCAGCAGCCTCCTTATGGGGCTTCCCTAATTCCATTCCATATTCTTTCCATCTCTCTCACAAGCTTCCAGACTGTAATGTGAGCAGCACACATGCAAGAGCATGCACACACAGTCCACATGTGTGTTGTGGATTGAGTCTGAAAGGGTTGGAACACTTGTTTCCCACCCGTTGTTGCTGTATTAGAAGGCCATGCAACCTTGAAGAGGTGGAGCCTGGCTGGGACAGACTTTGGGGAGTTACAGCCTGGCCTTACTTTCCACCCTGTTCTCTGCTTGCTGATCTGGTCAACACACTAGACACTCTGCTCTAAGTCCTGCTTTGTGAGTCTGGCTTCTACCACCACGCCCTTCCTTTGGCCATCTCCCCTGCTGCACTTCGAGCTTGGTGAGGTCAGGGTCACCTTACCCTCATCCCTGACATTATTCCCAGGGCATGTGACTATCATATCACATATGCTGTCAAATGATGTTCATAAGAGCCAGAAGTGACTAGACTCTGTCTAATCTCTGGTCTGTGTTCCTGACTATGTTCTACTGCCTAGACAACTGTCTGACTCCATCCTCTTTAATATTATTACAAGTTTGATGAGAGCTCTCTCAATTGCTTAGAATCAATGGAAATAAAGTTACCCTCCCTGGCTATAAAGTACCTAATAAGTCTACCACAGCCCAAACAATAATCTCTAAGGGATGACTCAGTCCCAGACCTCACTGTCTAAAGAAGGAGTGGACAGAGGGAGACAGCAACACTTGCTTGTGTTAGCCAGCTTTCCATCTCTGTGACAAAATGTCTGAAATAATCACCTGAAAAGGAAGGAAGGCTGGGGCTAAAGAGATGGCCCAGTGGTTAAGAGCACTGGCTGCTTTTCCAGAGGACCTTGGTTCTATTCCCAGCACCCACATGGAAGCTCACAACTGTCTACAACTCTAGTTCCCAGGGACCTGACACCTCCATATAGATACAACAACAATGCACAGAAACAATCAAAGTAAATAAGTCACTTTTTAAAAACTTAAAAGGAAGAAAGGGTTATTTTGGCTTGTGGTTTCGATAAGTCTATGGTCACTTGGCCTTACTGTTTCGAGTCTGTGGTGACACTCTGCATCATGGCGGGAACACTTGAAGTCAGAATTCTAAAAGGAACACAAAGAGTCTGGGTCTCCCTTTCAACTCATCCCCAGTGGTCTCCCTTCCCTCCACCAGGC